TCCTATCTGGGCCTTTCCTATGCCCATAGCTGGCCATGTAAAGAAAGTAACTCAGCCCTTTGGAATACACACACCTTAATATAATCTAGAAGCCAACGGTTTGGTGCCATGGGAGAGGTACTTGTACAACCCCAATAGCTACTGATTTTCTATAGGGTTCACGAAGCTCAGGATACAGGGCAATATATCCCACAGTTGGAATATGCAGAGGCCACATTGAAGGATAGTCATAAATTTCCTTTCATCAGCACCAAGGGAAATTATACTAATTAACATATCTCCTTTCTGGAAATCCTTTTTGAGAGAGTTTTTGGACTGCGGTCACCTAAAGATGTATTTTGACTTGTTTCTAATTACAAGGTTGATTTCAGATTACTATCCCTGTGACAGAAATCACTGAATAGAAACTCAGAGCTCTCTCCAATGTTTGTTTACACTCTAGCACAGTGGTTTTCAAACTTATTTTCTGGCAACCCAGTTGAAGAAAATTGTTGATGCCCGCAACCCAACAGAGCTGGGGATGAGGGGTCTGGGGTGTGTAAGGGGCTCAGGGCTGGGGCAGAGAGTTGGGGTGTGAGGATGAGGGCTGCGGGGTGGGGCTGGGAATGAGGGGTTCAGGGTGTGGGAGGGGGCTCTGGGCTGGGGCAGGGGGTTGGGGTATGGGAGGGGGTCAGGCCTCTGGCCTGGGGGTACAGGCTCTGGGGTGGGGCCAGGAATGAGGGGATTGGGGTGCAGGAAGGGGTTCCAGGTTTGGGGGGGCTCAGGGCTGGGATAGGGGGTCAGGGTATGGGGTTGGGGCACGGGCTTACCTCGGGCAGCTCATGGTCAGTGGCGCAGCCAGGGTGCAGAGGCAGGCTTCCCGCCTGTCCTGGCACCACGGACTGCGCGGCACCCTGGAAGCAGCCAGAAGCAGGTCCGGCTCCTAGGCGGAGGCGCCCAAGAGGCTCAACACAGCTCTCGCCCACAGGCACTGCCCCCCCCAGCTCCTGGCCAATGGGACTGCAGGGCCGATGCTAAGAGCGGGGGCAGCGTGCGGAGCCCTGTGGGTCCCCCCCCGCCACCCGCCTAGGAGCCGGACCTGCTGCTGGCCACTTCCAGGACGCAGCACGGTGTTGAAACAGGTAGGGACTAGCCTGCCTTAGCTGGGTAGCACCACTGACGGGACTTTTAATGGCCCAGTCGGTGGTGCTGACCAGAGCCCATCGTGACCCAGTGCCTTACATTCCTCAACCCAGTACTGGGTCGCTACCCCCAGTTTAAAAACCACTACTCTAGCATAACTAAGTCAAGGGCAACCTAGCTGGGTCAAAGGCCAGGATGTTAAGCAACAAACACAGACCCGGATGCTTCACCAATGGCAAAGGTGGAAGATGAAAGTGAAGCTCAGGACACGCTTCCTCAGCTAGGGGAAGTATGTAACTCACACACCTTCTGGGCAGAACACCACAAAAGCACTCAGGGTTCACTGCTGAGTGCAGGTTTGTGGGTGCTGCTAGGGACAAATTCTCTTTCTGATCACTGCTCCTGGACCAATGCCTGCAAAAGTTTATCTATCCTGAAAGCATCTGTATTGTTCTGTCAACGTGTTTCTCTTGGCACTAAACTACTTATCTTAGTATGGATGTTTGTTACTCATTATTAACAATAGTTTACAATATTTGTTATTGAATGTTTATGCAAAGCTTCAATAGTTTCATAAAAATAATTATGTGTACCTTTGGTGGTTCCCCTTCTCAGGGCCGTAACTAGAGTGGGGCGAGAGGAGCAGCTGCTCAGGGCAGAGCCGGCGTGGGTGCAAAAATGGGGCAGCACAGGCCCAGCAACGTCAAACACCTGCCCCTTCCCCGCCCCCAAGGATTGTACCCAGCAGTGTCAGCTGAAGTCCATGAGCATAGTTTGGGGGAGCATTGCCTCCCCCAGAGAGGGGAGGTTCCAGAGCTGCTTCTCCTGCTAGGTGCTCGCTGCCTTTGCAGCTGGATGCTGCCTCCTGGGTCCTAGTGCCGGTTGACTTCCTCTTCTACAGGTGCTGGCTGCCCTATATGGCCACCATGCTGTTTTCTGTACAACGGTGAGTGCCCGGGTTGTGGGGGGAGGGGATATGGGGGAAGTGGCAGTGGGGAAAGGAGGATGGGATAGGGCAGGGGAGGGGATGTGGGAGGAGGGGGAGAGAGGCAGGGGATAATGGGAAAGGGGATGAGGTGGGGAAGAGATGGAGATAGGGGAATGGGGCAGGTAAAGGCAGATGAGGGATGGGGAGGGGTATTGGGGCAGTGAGCAGTGGGGAGAGGAAAGGGGATGAGATGGGGAGAGGAAGGGACTGGGGCAGTGGGGAAGGGG